TCTCAGAGAAAAAAAAAAAAAAAAATGCTCTCTGATGTTGGTGAAGGCCAAGGAAGATGGTGGGTAGAGGCAGTAATGATTTCAGTTCACCTCCTGGGGCTACTGGAGCAGGCCACTGAAGTCATAGGCTGGCAGCGGTTTTACTTTGTGGCCCAGGGTGAGTATCTATCTTCACCAGGCCTCCTTTTCCTCCCTCATAACCTGGAGACCTTTTAGAAACAACAGCTTCAGGCAACACCCAAGGCTATACAGCCCTTTACTAGGAGCTGTTTGTCCACTATGTAGTATGAGTTGTTTAAAAACAGGGCACTCTGGCATGGTAAGCCTGTAAAAACAGGGCACATTGGCTGGTAAGCCCCAGCACTTTGAGAGGCTGAGGCAGGAGGATCACTTGAGACCAGGAGTTCAAGACCAGCCTGGGTAACAAAGCAAGACCTTGTCTCTATTTATAAAAAATACTAATAAAAAGACAAAATAAATAAAAAATAGAGCACATGTAGTTCACATATAGAATATACAAATTTCTATGTAGAAAAAAAGTGTGACAGGATATATGCTATACTATATTAACAGTGGTTATCTCTGGGTGGTAGAATTATAGGAAAGCTTTTGGCTTCTAATTGTTCTCCAATTTATTTTTTATTTTTCATTCTGTCGCCCAGGCTGGAGTGCAGTGGTGTGATCTTGGCTCACTGCAACTTCTGCCTCCTGGGTTCAAGCAATTCTCATGCCTCAGCCATCCTACTGGCTGGGATTATAGGCATGCACCACCATGCCTGGCTAATTTTTTGTGTTTTTCGTAGAGAAAGAGTTTGACCATGTTGCCCAGGCCGGTCTTGAGCTCCTGACAAGTGATCTGCCCACCTCAACCTCCTAAAGTGCTAGGATTAAAGATGTGAGCCACTGCGCCCAGCCCTTTTCTCCCGATCTTCAATTACGTACCCCCGCTGGACTACTCTCCTCGTTTTTGCTTCTGTCCAGTCTCCTAAAAAATCTAAGCTCAATCACCATGTCCTAGTGGTCACCATCCCTTGCCTTCAGGGACTCAGTGTATCTAGACATTTATGAAATGACCTGATTGATGTATCACCTCACTAGATGATCCGTTGTATGGAGGAAGGGAAAGGATTTGTTTTTTTTGTTTGTTTTTTACATTTTGTTTTGGGATACATGGGGAAAAGATTTGTTAACATTCAGTTCTCAATGCAGAGTATGCTGTGAGCAACACAAATCAATCAAATAAAAATATAAGGCTCATGCCTGTAATCCCAGCACTGAGAGGCCACAGTGAGCGCATCACTTGAGCCCAGGAGTTCCAAGACCAGCCTGGACAACATAGCAAAACCCTGTCACTACAAAAAATACAAAAATTAGCCAGGCATGGTGGTGTGCACCTGTAGTACTACTATAGTACTATGGTGACTTGGGAGGCTGAGCTGAGAGGATCATCTGAGCCCAGGGAGGTTGAGGCTGCAGTGAACTGTGATCGCGCCACTGCACTCCAGCCTGGGTGACATAATGAGACTCTTGTCTCTCCCTGAAAAAAAGTGGTGGTGGTGGGTTTTTTTTTTTTTTTTTTGAGTCGGAGTTTCGCTCTTGTTACCCAGGCTGGAGTGCAATGGCGCCATCTCGGCTCACTGCAACCTCCGCCTCCTGGGTTCAGGCAATTCTCCTGCCTCAGCCTCCTGAGTAGCTGGGATTACAGGCACGCGCCCCCATGCCCAGCTAATTTTTTGTATTTTTAGTAGAGACGGGGTTTCACCATGTTGACCAGGATGGTCTCGATCTCTTGACCTCGTGATCCACCCGCCTCGGCCTCCCAAAGTGCTGGGATTACAGGCTTGAGCCACCGCGCCCGGCCAGAAAGTGTTTCTTAAATCTGAGATATTTGTTGACTCAGGGACCCACGTGAAGGACCTATCTTCCCAAGGAGAGGATGGACTGGCCCTCTATACTCACCAATCATATCAAGCAGATCCTCTGTGACCTCTTGGTTAGAATTGTTGAGTGGCATGTTTGAGTCAGCCTTCAAATCTCTCTCCATATCTTTCCTATAGCCCCCAGGTGGGGGAGGGGGGAGAAAAGGTGGGGAATTAGATTTTCTTTCAAGAAAATATTGAAAGGAAACTCAGTTTTAGATAATCTCAAAGACAGAAACTTAATGGTGACCTTGTCATTTATGCTTTGATTAGAGGACAATCAGAAACTGCCACATCAGTGGAGAAATTGACTAACAGCATTATAATGACTCATGAGCATCACGGGCTGTATTAAATTTTTTTCTTTTTTAGAGACAGGGTTTTGCCATGTTGCCAAGGCTGGTCTCGAACTCTTAGACTCAAGCCACCTCCGCCACCAAAGTGCTGGGATTACAGGCATAAGCCACCTCGCCCAGCCTGTATTTTTTTGTTTGTTTGTTTAAGATGGAGTCTTGCTCTGTTGCCCAGGCTGGAGTGCTGTGGCAAGATCTCAGCTCACTGTAGCCTCTGCCTCCTGGATTCAAGCATTCTCCTGCCTCGGTCTCCCAAGTAGCTGGGATTACAGGCATGCACCACTGCACTTGGCTAATATTTGTATTGTTAGTAGAGATGGGGTTTCACCAGGTCCCAGCTGGTCTCAAACTCCTGATCTCAAGTGATCCACCCACCTCAGCCTCCTAAAGTGCTGAGATTACAGGCAGAAGCCAGCCACCGCACCCTGCAACGCCTGCCCTATTTATGAGTACTAATATAAATACTTGTGGAGTTGAAAGGAAAAAAAATTTTGTGGCGTTGAACCAGTTAAATGGGCTCTTTATTCCTTGCCTATGAAGCAGTCAAGATGGCAGAACTTTTGAAGTTTCATCTCACATGTTCATTCCTTCTCCAAGTCAAGGTGCCTGGGACCAGGCAATTTCAAGTTACTTGGGAGAAGAAAGTCTGGAGACCTAGTGATGGTCCAAAAACCTCTGGGGTTAGAGTAGGGAGCAGAGGCAAGGATGAAGCCAGGAAGAAGGGCTCAGCTTTCAACTCACCCTCTCAGTAACATGGGCAAAGGAGGGTACCAAAGGCCCCAGTGTCCAGGTTCAAACACAGAAGTTAAGATGGAATTAAGACTTTTGTTTCTGCAACTTAAAAAATAAGGTTATTTTAAAAACCAGATTATTTTATATCCACTACCCCTTTGGGTACTGCAAAGTGGTTTCCATGACTGGTTTGACATCAACGATTGACAACTAGCCCTTCACCTGGGACACATACACAAAACATAACTGTTTCCTAGGCCAGATTTTGAAGAATGTCTATGAACTCCCCAAATATAGTCACAGAGCTGCCAAGAGGAGGCAAGAGCACTGTCATGAACTAAATCTAGGATCTTCAACCATTTTTGCAGAAACAAGAATCCCCTAATTGTAGCTGTTAAGCTATCAAAATTAGAATCACCTGAAACTGTCTTTTCTCCAGTTTGTCCCCTCTCCTGCAGTTCTCCGAAACTCACTCTCAGGTGCCAAAATGGAGGAATGCATCAATACATTTTCCTTGCTGGTCAGAGGTTTTCTCTCAGGGCACAGAGCGTGTGGTTTTGCATTTACCGAGACACGGTTTGGTGCAAAGGCAGGGTTCTCATTCTCAGGAGCACAGGAGACAGCAGCAAAAGGAGCAGCAGAGGAGAATGCTGCCAGAGGATGTCTTCTGCAGAGGACCCTGTGCACGGGCAGCGAGAAGGAAAGCGGAGCGGGGCCCAGCTCCAGCCTCTGCTGGCCTGTGCACTCCTGGGAATTACTGACTCCTTCAAAGGCCCGGTCAATGGCTGCAGTCAGTTCCTTTCTGCATCTTCTTAGTTTTTCAGACATTTCTCCTAAAAGCGACCATGTCTTTATGTAATGCATTGGAAATGCACAGGGCAACACAAGAATGATGTTACAAATGAGGCTGTAAACCACCCCGAAATGGCCACGATTTCCTGGAGCGTGGCCCTAGCTATAGCAGGACCCACAACCCTCCGGCTTTCCTCTTGGAGTAGGCGGTACTCTGCTCTCGCGGAGGAACCCGCGATCTGCCAGAAGCTCCATGAACGCCCCGCCCCGCCTCCCCTCCCACAGCTTCCTAGCCCGCCCCGCCACGGCCTACCGCCCCACCGGGGCTCCCAGGCCGCCAGCCCTACCCCGCAACTCGCGGCCCGCCCTCTGACAGGTAGGCAGACGAGTCCTTGTTCTCACCCGCAGCGCTGCGACGCCGACCCTGCCAACGGTCACCGCACGCGCGCGCCCCAGACCGGCAGGCCCCGAACACCCACGGGTCAGGTTAAAGGTCAAACAAAAAAGCCCAGACCCGTACATCCGGTTAAGGTCTGGTGGCCCGACACGCAGCGGCCGGGCCCCTATTGGGAGTGGGGACGGGGCTTTCGTACTGGGGATCCCGGGAGAAGTCTTGGCAGGGTTGAGGAAAGAGCCTGGGCTGGAAAGTATCTGCGTAACACCAAAATGTATTACTACTCTAAATCCGCATAAACTGGAGCCCTTTCCGGGCTAACCGCTCCCACAAAGGTTTCTGTTCTCACACCAACATGTAAACGACTGACGAACACAGCACCGGGCAGTTTTATGTACTGACTTCCTTTAAGTGTTATCTAATAAAAGTTCCACACAGTATTTAACTGTCTTAATTCATCTAGGATAGCGCGGGTCAACAGAACTGCTGGGTTCCATAGGAAGTTGAGGGGCCGGGGACCCCCAACACTAAATATCTTCATTTCTTTAGCAGGGAGAAAGCTGGAAATTACAAGATGACTCAAAGGAGAAATGGCTTCAGTGGCTAACTTTCAGAAAAGAGAGAGGGGAGTTTACTTGAGGCTTGGGTTACTGTGAGCAGACTACTTAGGTGACCAGTATCGGCACCAGAACCAGAAATCCAGGAGCTCAGGGCAGCCCTGCAGGTGGGGTGGGTCTCCAGGATCCTCCATACTCAGTGCCTGTGTTCCTCTCCATTCTTTGGGATCCATCAGACATACTCCATTGTGTAACCCCATCCCACCCCACTTCTCAGCTTCACAGGTTTCACAGAAATTTCTCACCACCTATTTAAAAAGAAAAATAATTCAGCCTCTTGACATAGCCTCTTCTAAGCAAACAGTCTTTTTTTTTTTTTTTTTTTTTTTTTTCTTCATCTGGTTTTTAAACGGAACACTAGCAGTCTGCAGAGTGCCAAAGATGTTCTTCTGGGATTACGCTGGTGCTGCAGGGTGGCAGGATCGTGGAGTCAGCATCAGTTGGTGTCCATGCTGCAAGCCTCGTCATCCCCCAAGCCCTGCTGACAGCTGCTTCGTCGTGTCCCTCCATCAGAGGAACCAGAACTGCTGAGTGAAGGTGTCTTATAAAATTCATCATCCCGACGCTGGTAAAATAGCACATAAGCTGCTTTAGTCTAAAACACAAGAGGGGGAAAGACCATTCACTGGTTGGAAAAATCACCCATTTTCCCCAGCTTTTCTCTAGCTGTCCAGAACCTTCAAGATCTGCCATATCCAACATAGAGGAGACCCTTCCACCTAAGGATGGCTGCCCTGCCCCTGCCAGGGAGCAGGGAATGTAAGGAGCCCTGTGCAGAGAACTCTGAGGAGAGCTGAGCTTCTCATTTACAACGGTCCCTGAAGGAATGGCAGCCAGCTCCGTCACACCTAGCTCTCACTGTCACATCAGGATGATGAAATAACCAACTAGCCTGAGAGAGGCCCTTCCCAGCTTTAATCCATGAAGACAAGGAAGAACCACATATCATGGCCTACTCACCACGATCTGATCCTCAGAGGCCAACGACACGTTGCTATCATCAAAGTAATACCATTTCCCATTCAGTTTGTTCTTCGCATATGCAGTGTCTGCCAAGTCAACAAAGAAAATACTCCAGCACTCTCCAGAGGATTGATCAGGCTAGCTTATTAGGCTTGCACTAAATAAACACAAAAATCCCCAAAACAAAACCCCTGAAATTAAAAATAGTTTACAGTGTGTGTCTCAACCACCAAAAGACAACTCACCTTCTTTTCTAATCTGTTCCTTCTCAAAAAGGATCTAAAGGCTAAAAATGGAGCTGTCAGGGACCAAGGTTTTAAACTATAATTTTGGGAAACTAATCCAAAAAATAGAGCTGTTCAATGCCAATCTTCAGGATGGCTATGTGCAATAATCCAGAGCCAGGGAACCCATAAAAGGAGCTGCAACTTCTAAGATTTAAGCAAAACAACAGCTCTCACAAGGGCATGCCAAGTCAATCTCCCCCACTTCGTTCAGGCAGGTGGCCACTAACATCAGCAGAATGCTTACTGCCTCTGGAGCCTGCAGAATTATCCCAGTTAGGGGAACATTGGGTGTTTGGGTTTGCAGAGCTGGGATGTGAACAACATGCCTTAAAAATTTATCTTTCTCTAAAACTGGGTCCAGAGTCTGTGGTTGGGTAACAGTTTCCCACAATGATTCAAGCATTTCCCATAGGCAATGCTTCCTGTCTTGATTTTACACTATTCCCAAGTAGGATGTGTTTATTACAGCAATCCCAGCCCAGTTCCTACTCCATCCAGACTTTCAGAAACTACAGAATCCAATGGAGATCGGATTTCCAGTGTCAACTTACTGTGTGGCTTTAGGTAAGGTGTTGAACACTTCAGCCTCAGTTTCCTCATCATAGCGTTGACTGCACAAAGTGGTGGTGAGGAACATGGGGAGGGAAGGGCAACAGAGAAGGTGCCCAGGCTTCGCACAATAGCAGCAATGGAAGGAGCCCTGTGGTGGCTTTCAATCGAAGTTCTCACTGTAGGTCCAATGTGGACCCTCACACAACCAGCCTAACCTCATGGATGAGAAAACTGAGGATGAGAAACTTGCCCAAATGGTATGTTTGTGTGCAAAAATTAGCAATTAAAAATGAACACAGGCTGGACATGGTGACTCACACCTGTAAACCCAGCACTTTAAGAGGCCAAGACAGCGTGAATTGTTTGAGCCCAGGAGTTTTAAGACCAGCCTGGGCAACATGACAAAACCCCGTCTACTAAAAATACAAAAATTAGCCAGGTATGGTGGTGTGCGCCTGTAATCCCAGCTACTTGGGAGGCTGAGGCAGGAGAATCCTTGAACCTGGGAGGCGGAGGTTGCAGTGAGCCAAGATCGTGTCACTGCCCGCCAGCCTGTGTGACAGAGCGGAGAAAAAAAAGCAAATCTTATAGAAATTTTGCAAAAAAACTTGAGCAAAGAGGAAAAAAGTAAAATTAACATTTTGGTGTCTCTCCTTCCAGGCTCACATCCCTCAGCCCATCAGAGTTTCTTTGCTTGTTGGTTAATACAGTTGTGATAATATGTCTTGTAAGGATATAATTTTGTGTAGTAGTTTTTTTTGTGTGTGACAGAGTTTTGCTCTGTTGCCCAGGATGAAGTGCAGTGGCACAATCTTGGCTCACTGCAACCTCTGCCTCCTGGGTTCAAGTGATTCTCCTACCTCAACCTCCCGAGTAGCTGGGACTACAGCTGCATGCCACAATGCCCAGCTAATTTT